CCTAGGGGGTGAGGGTGGAACTGACCTCGAGGTCAAATACTCTGTTAAAAACAGTCACAGTTTTCTATTCCCTGTCTTTCTTCCCCCCACCCCCTGCCCCCCGGTGAGGTGGGACGAGGCTGCAGAGGCTCTGCTGCTTTTAGCTGGGTGACCTTGAGCTAGTCACTGTACCTTCCTGAGCCTCATCTGCGAGACCAGGTTGATAATAGTAACGCAAACTTACCAAACACTTCCTTGGACAGACACACAGAGAGCTCACACAACGGGCCCAAGGACACAACTACGAAGTGGCAGGCCCGGGATTCAAGCCCGCAAGAAGTCTTCCTTCAGAAGCCACATGCTTTATCCTACATCTGACACCTCAGGGCATCTCCAACGCCAACAGTTGCAGGAGGATTAAAGGAGATCATGTGATAATCACCCAGCACTTAGTGGTCACCTCATCTCCACAAGTAGCTGAGTGTGACTCACAGAGGGTTCTGGACCACCAGTACTCGATTTCTGTCAAAGGTAAGTTCCCACTCATAAATATTAAATCTACTTCCCGAATCCCGGAGTATAGCTCAGCATGAATCAGTAAAACGGATGTTTTGTCACTAGACTTGGTAAAACGTGGCCAGATGGCATCTGCCTTGCCTGATTAATTCCAATCAGGCAAGATTTTATAGTTGAATGCCGCAGGATCAAAACAAGGCAGTACAAGTTGAACTCTGACTACGGATCAAAGGGACCGTGCTGGCTTTCCATTCGGGGACCCACAAGTCCTGAAGTCAAGAAGAACCAGCAAATGGGAAGCTCCAGCCTAGTTACTGGGGCGGTTTACCCGGGGCTGGGCCACACAAGCAGCAAGAGCCCCCAGACCTGTTCTGGGACCGCATTAAACGTGGTTGTTTGCTGATGGACTCGGGGTAGGATGTCTGGGCCTACGACATGGCAAGTCTCCACTTTGGGAACTGGGAAAGGAAGGGTGACGGCCCCCAGCCTTCCTGCCCTTAATGTCCCCAGTTAGCGCCGACCCGCCGTGGTCGGGAAACCACTATCTTAGTGTGGTCTGCTGCTCTAACAGAATCAGTTGTTCGTTCAGGACCTCCTCAGGAGCTTCCCGGGTATAATCTGAAACCAGCCCCCTGCACAGAGAAGGCAGGAGCATGGAAAAAAGAGGCAGGCCACCCCAGTTGGGCAGGGGGCAGCGTTAATAAGCACGGGAACTTGTATGTGAGGCTTGTCCCGGCCGCTGCAGGCTGAGCAGGTCTCTGCCCCCTCCCCGCCCTGACCCGATCCACCCACCAGAAGCTTAGGAGTTTATGTGGAGGCCTTAGGGGTTCAGTCCCACATAGTGTCCAGCTGGTCTCCCCCCCCACATCACTATATCAAGGCTGTAGCTTGCAGCTTCTGGAAGCAAGGAAGGCGGGGGGGATGCACATTCCAAGGATGGGATCAGGGGGGTGAGGAGCCTCCGATTGCCGGGTCTGTCTCGAGGGTCACTAGCAGTCACATCCTCTCGATGACCTCCAACAGCCACACACTGGGGGGCTTACAGCACACATTTATTTCTCAGGTTCTGGAGGCTGGAAGTCCGCGGTCGGGTTCTTGGTCTTCTGTGGCCTTCCAGTGGTCCTCTGCAGTGTGCTCACACACTTCTTCCTCTTTCTATTAAGGGCACCAATCCCATCATGAGGGCCCCACCCTCCTGACCTCATCCAACCCCTCTTGACCCTATCACCCCCCAAAGGCCCCACCTCCAAACACCATCACACTGGGGGTTATGGTTTCACCATCGGAATGTTCAAGGGAACACATTCACTGCACAGCAACCACCGTGTGGTAACTGAGAAGCCACAAAACCACCCCACTCCCCGTGTGAGAACAATACCAGCCCAGGGATAGGTGGGGACCAGGGGGCAAGGTCCAGGCGGTGCTCGGCAAAGAAGAGAAACCACGCTACAAGGGATAAACATGCTACGTCACTGACACTTTCAATGACTGTTCCCTAGTCGATCCAGCTCCCGCGTCCACAAGGGGAATCCACGGCTGAGAAATTCTGCTCTTTACCTAGAAGCTGACGTGAGGAGGAAAGGATGGAAGAGGGGACAGAGCATCTTTCCTTATTCATTAAGACGCTCATTATGAGCATTTTAAATACTCAGGTTTAAAGTTGAAAATGGAAGCTTCCCCTCATTGAATCTACCTCCTGCCCACCCCAATCCTCTCCCCAGAGCAACCGCTGCTGACAGTTTGGAAGGTAGTCACTTTTTTTTTAAACACAAATAAGATCACACAAAACTTATTCTGTGACCTGCTTCCAACACTTTTCACTACCCCATGGCTGCATCGGCAGATATAATCAACCTCACTCTTTTTAAGGGCCAAGTAATATTCCATAGAGTGGATCTACTAACATCTATTTAATGGTATTGCCTAGTAATGGAAACTTCCACTTTTGGTGCTGCTATTGTTTGTCTGTTAGAATCAGTCAGTGACCGTCCTTGCTTATTTCCATTAGATTATTATTTTTGGAAGTGTCAAAGCAGGGAATCACCAATATATCCTCTACCTGAATCTAAAAGACCACTTCCATTTTCTGAGAAGCTGCTTTACCCTCCACTGCACAGCTTTGGGGAAGGGTAAATCTCACACCGGTTCTCAGAGCTCCAGGTGCCTTGGGAATACCTGGGAAGCATAAAAATACAGATGCCCAGCTTCTACCAGAATCCCCGGGGGGTGAGCCCAGGTGAGTTTAGTTTCAGTTGATATTGATTTGGGGGGTTCTGGACCAGCTCCCTGTTCTACTGGTGCGTGGCAAAAGCCCTAACTGGCTTCCCATTGTCAACATGGAGATCTATGATTTTAGCTCTGGAATAAAGGGATGGAATAATGCATTTGCTCTGTGTGCCCTCTGCTGGTACCGTGTGAGCAGATCGGGCGTCGAAATGGAGGCTGTTTCACGCCATGGCTGCTGAGAATGGGACTCCCAGTGTGGGAGCTTCAGGGCAGTGATGGTCAACCCAGGTTACACCTGAGAGTCACCAGGGAGCCTTGACAGTAGCAATGCCCAGTCACAGGTCTGGCAACAATGTTTAAAAAGCTCTCCAGGTGATTCTGCAGAGCCAGGGCTGAGAACCTCTTCTTTAGGTAAAAAAAACATGGCCCAGGAACACGAAGTCCCCAGAGGCATGGGTCACTCCGATGTTCTCTGTCCTGGCTGTCCATGTCAGAGAGCCCAGCCTCAGCTGCATTGCAGAACTGGTTCAAATTCGTCAAAAAGATGGATGCCAGGGACACCCCAGACATAATCAGAATCGCCGGGTGTGAGGCTCACTCAGGTAATTGCTGACAATAAGACCAACAGCACTGGCTGAGTTATTTTCTTCTTTCATGAGGTCAAGATCACATCATGAATACCTAAGGCATTTTAGAGGAACAAACTGTATGTCTTTGGGGGAAGAGGTTCAGTCCAGTCATTGGAATGGTGCAGAACAGAACCAGCTGCGAGATCATGTGCAGAGGAAACTGGAGAGAGGGAGGGAGGGCAAGAGGGAGCACAAGAATGCTCTATGCAGATACCTAGGAAGAAAGGCTTCCAGGCGGAGGGGGCTGCCAGTGCAAAGGCCCTGAGGCTCGGTCATTGGGGAAACAGCAAGGTGACTATAACTAAATGAAGTGGTGGGCAGGGCTGGAGGGGGATGTGGATAAGAAGACTGCAGGGGTAGAGATGGAGCCAGATCACTGGGCCTTGTAGGACATTGTAAGGACGTCAGCTTTCACAGCAGTGATGTGAGTCTTCTTTAAAGGACCCCTGGCTACTGTTAGAATGGCCTCCAGTACAGCAAGGATGGAAGCAGCAGGTAGCGACGATCCAGAGGAGATATGAGGGCAGCTTGGATCAGAATGGCAGGGGTACAGGTGGGGAAAGTGGTCAGAAGATGGTCACATTTTGACAGTAGTCAACATACATTCAGTCAGTCAACATACAATCACTATATGCCATTTACACTGAGAAAGAGCCAGCACCTCTGCATGGGTGGCAGCCCTCCAGGACCATCCCGCCACCCCTGGGCCACCCCTGAGGACCACTGGGTGTTAAGAGTGTGCTCCTGTGTGCACAGCCCTTTATCTAGGAAAGCCAGACACACCCAGACTGACATGGGTGCTGGTGTCCCTCAACATCCGGGGATGCAGTCACCCCAGGAATTAACATGAGATGGGCATTTAACAAGGGCAACAAATGCACAAGCCTCTGCCCTTCATTTGCATCTTTAACTAAAAGTGAATACAAATCAAAACGTGCTCTTATTCTTAAAAGCCCCCAAAGTTCTCCCCTTTCTCTGACCTTGACAGGCTTCCCACCTTGATTATACATAGTCAGGATCCTCCCTCAGCAGATGCCCGGCTCTCGCCAGGGCGGACCCGGCCGGCTGCTCCCTCAGGCCTCCTATTCTGCCTCAGCCGGTCTGCTCTTCTTTCAGGGCACCTGTCACCCTCTCTAATTACACACAGGTGCTTGTTCAACATCTGCCTCCCCCCCCACCAAGACACCCGACCGTCCGCTCCACAGGGCAAAAGCCCGTCGCTGGGATGTCAGTGCGGAGCAGTGCCGGGCATGGACCTTTGGGCGGAATGAATGACGGATCTGGAAGCCTACAGGAACAAACTGCCTGAATTACATGCTTTACTTGCTTCTGTGACATAGAATAAATTAAGAAAAATCTAGCTTCTTTTGTGTTATCTCATTAGAAAGTCACATCTCAAAATGCCATTTTCAGTCTACACAAAGAATATATTTGATATTTCATTCTTTATAGCTACTTGATATTTATTACATTCTTCATAACAATAAAAAATGGAAATGACTTAATTACAAAAGGTTAAAGGATGAGTTACATTCACTGAATGGAATATTTTGCAATTCCTGAATTTCTTTCGCATAGAGTATTTAAATGAAAAATAAAAAAATCTGGGCCTTTAGTTTTTATCTCTAGGTAAGGTATGCTATTATTTTCCCCAAATTTTGAGATATAATTCACATATAACATTTTACTACTTTAAGTTGTACAGCATAATAATTTACATATGCATATTGGAAAATGACTACCACAGTGTTGTTAATATCCAGCACCTCACATAGTTATGTTTCTTTCCTCGTGATGGAATATTTTTAATGAGTGTAGCTGCGATAGTCTTGTGTTAAATCACGAAGCAAAAAAAAAAAGGAAAAACCCCAATTTTCAATACAGTATAAAATCTGTGCTTTTAGAAAAGACTAGAAGCACAATGAAATACTCCTTCACACCTATCAGAATGGCTATTATCCAAAAAAGTGGAGAAATTGGACCTTTATGCATGGCTGGCGGCAATATAAAATGGTGCAGCTGGTGTGCAAAAGTTTGGCACCTCCTTCAACACAGTCTCCCTGAGATCCGGTAACACAACTTCTCAGATATACCCAGGAGAGCTGAAAGCGGGGCCTCGGCAGGTATTTTACACCAATGTTCACAGCAGCATTATTCCCAGCAGCCAAAAGGTGGAAACAACCAATCAAAATGTCCATCAACAGATGAAAGGAGAAACAAAATGTGGTACATACATTACTCAGCTATAAAAAGGGAATAAAATGCGGACCCCTGCTATAACATGGATGCCTTGAAAACACGATGCCAAGTGAAAGCCACACATAACAGGCCACATGGTGCACAGTCCATTTATACACAATACCCAGAATAGGAAAACCCATACATAGGCACAGAAAGGAGACTGGTAGTTGCCAAGGGCGGGAGGGAAAGGGAATGGGAAGTGGGTGTTTAACGGGTACAGAGTTTCCGTTGGGGATGAAGAAATAGTTCTGGAAATGGATGATGGTGATGATTGCACAACCCTGTAAAATATACTTCACACTCCGGAACTCTACACTTAAAAATGGTTAAAAAGATAACTTTACATTATGTATATTTTACAATAAAAAAAAAGACTGGAAGTCCACACAACAAAACAGGTATTGGCTTTTGAGTGGCATAATTATAAAGATCCTGCCTTCCAGATTGTGTGACAAGTGAGTAATTCTAATTACGGGGCGGAGGGGCACTGCATGTATATAACTGGCTTTAGTTTACAAAATAACAGGACGGCACACGGTTCATCTGTCCTCATCACATTGCAAAGCCTTCCAACGTAGGAGCCTCTAAGACCTCTGAGTGGTGAGCCCAACCTCGGCAAGGGTGCTGTGCGCCCTCGGGTGACACCCATCCAATCCCACCCCAGTCGCTGCACAGTTACCACCCTGGCAGGATGAAATGACCCACCTCTAGACTTCAGCGCAGTCCCTTCAGCTGCCAGGTCGGGGGGTGCCCAGCACAGGGCTTGGGAAATCCCTGCCCGGAATGACTGCCTGGAAGCCTTTCACCACACCACCAGCTCCAAACTAACCCTGACATTTACTGTTTTCTCTCACAGCCACCCCATGGTACAGGCAGGATTTTCCCTTCCACAGATGTGAAGGCCAAGGTTCAAAGGCGTGAAACCTGCCTGGGGATGGGGAGAACTGACAGAACCTAGGCCTTCTGACCCCAAATCCTGCCACCTGAAGCCTGTGCGCCCCCTGCCACCCATCTTCCCATTTCACAGCACTGTACTGCTTCAGGGAACCTGGTGTCGTTGCCTCCAAGAAGTGGCTCTTAACAGAAACTTCGGGCTGGATGTCACACACAAGTGCAGTAAGAATATGCACTAAGGTCCTCTCTCTCAAAGCTGGTTACCAGTTCCTGCCTCATGAACTTTTTCATCCCCAAAAGACAAGTTCCCAGGAGCCCTGGCAACATCTCCAGCTGCCTGATCCCCTCCTGCAGCCTCGCCCACAAGTCGGGCCTTCCCACTGCAGACCCAGCAGTACCCAGAGGCCTGGCTCCCAGTTCACTTGAGTGTGTCCAGCCTCCCAAACACCTGCGCGAACCGTTCTCTGTCCAGGATGCGTCCGTAGCGCAGGGTGAGGTAGAAGGTCTGCTTCCCGCTATACTGCTGGATGCGCACGAACACCTCCTGGGGCCGGTCCTCGCTTTCTGTCAGGGGGATCACGTCAGCCACGGAGCAGTACGTGTCCTGCCGCCGGCCCCAGAAGGTCAGGTGGGCCACCCGCAGCACAGTGCCGGACTCGTTCACGTACAGGATGCCCACCAGCCTCCGGAAGAAATAGCTCATCCAGTACAGCATGGCCAGTGCAAAGCCAGCGACCCCGCCCGCGAGGCACAGAGCGTTGAAAGCCATGAGGCCCTGGGAGTAACAGTAGAGGCCGGGCGGCAGGGCCATTACTGTCAGCGCCGTCTGCGCCACCTTCAGCCGAGACAAGACCCCAACGGCTCTGATGGCATGAAACCGGTAGACCATCTGGAATTTCTCGGTGTCTGTTCCTGGGGGCTTCTCCTTCAAGGCCGGCAGCCTGCTCCCCACCCACCTTCCAGGGTCCTGCCCACTGCAGAGGCACACCCCATACAGAGGCCTCCCCCACGCACCTGGCCTTGGCAACCCCAGCACAGCTCGGAGGAGGGCGGCCTGCAAGGGAGACAGGAGGCCATTTGTCTCACAGAACGCAACCATGCTAATCACACAAAATCTGCAAAGCGTCTACACGGAGGCTCCCGCCAAACCCGTGAGGTCCCCGTTATTGCCAAAGACATAGGGAGAGGGAAAGTCAGGGGCTTGACCTCATGTGATCCTCATGCAAGCTGTAAGAATAAAGCACTACTTCCTCATTACCCCTGGGGAAGCTACTCCCAGAGAAGGCAAGAAATGTACTCAAAGACACACAGCCAGGGAGTGGGGCAGAGTAGGACTCCCAAAACTGGTCCTCTTGCCTCCAGGAGTGGAAGTAGGTATAGGAAAGGAGGCATAATTTTCATTCACTCGGCAAATATCTAGGGAAGGCCAGCTCTGGGTGGGCACCAGATCTATAAGGCTGGTGAACATTTCCTCGGGCAGGAAGCTACGCAGTGACCTCGTGGGGAACAAATCTGAGCGATATTCACCCTAACTTTCCAATACCCTGTCTGCTTAACGCAGCATCTTAGCCTAGTTTGGGAGAAGGGACAGAGGCACCACCCCGTAGCGCAAGTATTTTATTGGGTGAATATTTCTACACCTTGAGCAATGATGGAAGAGGCTTTGGAGCCAAATCTGGGATCCAATCCCGGCTCCGAGTCACCCAGTCACTAGCTATGGATCCTTGCGCAAATTGCTCCTCCTCTCTGGGCCTTTCAAAACGGGGGTTCAGAACACAGGGAATGAGACCTCGAAGGCACCTGACGGACTCGCACGGTGAGTGCTCAGTGGGTTTTTGCTCCCGCCGAGGTAGCCCCCGAGTCCTGAGCGCAGAAGAAGGCGGGAAAAGCACAACAGACCACGACCGAGTTCTCTCCCGAGAATTCTCGGAATCAGAACCCCAAGCGTCCGCCTGCCTGCCCCGACCCAAACCGCAATACTTCGCTCAATCCCTACCATCCACCCTCTTACCATGGTCCCACTGCTCGCTGCCGGAAGCGGATCCCACGTGCGCCGGAACCGCTAACAGCGCATGCTCAGCCGTAACAGCGTGAGGGCGCGTTGCATTCTGGGATTCGTGGTCCGGAGAGGATAGCCCACTCGCCTCTTCCAGGCAGGCGGGGCGGCTCGTGGGCGGGACCGGGAAGTTCCGGGCAGAGTTCCCCGTGCCACGAGTCCTGTCGGGTGCGGACGGGACCTCGGGACATGGCGGCGCCCGGCCCAGCGCTCTGCCTCTTCGACGTGGACGGGACGCTGACGGCCCCGCGGCAGGTAGGTGGCGCCCGGCGGGCTGGCGGTAGCCGGTGCGGAGCGTGCAGCTGCTCCCTGACGCGGCGCCGACCGCGCTGGGTGGGCGTCGAGCACCCCTGCCTCCTCTGGTGGGGCTGGACTTTATTCTGGGTTCCCGGATGGATAAGACGGAAGCCCCAACCAGCATTTCAAGACCTCAGTGTGCACGGAGAGACGGGGCGGGGCCGAAGAACTGGGGAGCAAGAAACCTGCTCTGGGTTGGAAAACCCAGTCCTGGACTCTCGCCCCAAGCCCTGATTTGAACCCCAGCTCAGCCCCCTTACCAGCTGTATGCCCTCCTCACACCTGTCACCTAGGAGCCATGCCTTGTGATATGAGAAACATAGATTTCCAGGTCAAGGGACCTGGTAGGGTCTCACCTTTACGCGTTAACAGTTCTGTGACCTTGAGCAAGTCACTTAACCTCAGAGGTTCAGCATTTATGGCTTTAAATGAGGCATCCCTTGTTGAATATGGTGTTTGTGATAATCGAGTGAAGTCGAATACCTTGAATACAAAGATCACAAGTATCTTGCATACGGTAGCCTGTATTGAATAATATTCAATAAATATTAGCGGCTGCCACTACCCCCTTCTCCAGCCCCTGCAATGGACTGGGGTGACGGAGGAGCCCTAGACTGTCAAGGCTGCCTGCTGACAACCTCCTTGGACCTCTGGCAACTTGCTTCCCGCTTCCAGATTTTGCTGCAGGCTTTCAGTTAAGATCAACATTTGTGATGAAGCTCATTCTGCCCCGCCCCTGGCACAGATTGATCACTAAACATCAGCCATTCAAATTTAAGACTGTGCGCTGATAAATGGCTTAACTATCTTCAGTTTCTGTGCCCAGCCCCTTAGTTTTGGCCGAATGGGAGCAGTGGTGTGCCCCAGGGTTCTGACATTAATTGTGTGTGCCCTTAGGGGCACATTTTGCCTTTCTGAGCCGCAGGTTCCATGTATCTAGTGATGATACTCAACTGCAAGTTCTCCCAAGACTCTCTGGCTCAGATTCTGTGATTAACACTTGATTGTTAAAAGCCGATAGTGGTCTGGAGCCGATGTCGGTGATTCATTGTTTGTAAAGGGCGAGATAGCAAAAACTTTTGTCTTTATCAACCATATGGTCTGTAATAAGTACTCAACTGTCATGCAGAAGCAGTCATAGACCATATGTAGACACAGCATGGCTGTGTTCCAGTAAAACTTTATGTATTTATTATAAAACAAACAGCAGCCCTATTGGCCCATTGGCTGTAGTGGTATAGGGTTTACATTCCAAGCTTTTTTACACGATACTATCATTGGACCCTCTCAACCTTTCTCCCTCTTTTATCTCCAGTTGGATAGTTGTTACAACCCTTTTAAACATAAGGAAACAGAGACTCAGTGAAACCATGATCGTCTCAATTTTGCACACCAGATCTGGTACAAGTCTCTGGACCACAGGGCATTGTTACTTGCTAAGTGCCATATTCTGCCACTGCTCTAAGGTGGAAGTGTAAGCATATACTTTTAAGCATGAAGTTTGAAACAGCAAAGAAACTGTGCAACCCACAGTGTATTCATGCCCTTAAAACATTTGAAACATGATACTCTTCACAGTGAACATAAACGATTTTAGCACTCAGAACAAAGTGTAATTTAAAAGCAAATTGTTTCTGTGTGCCAAGTACTGTAGGTAAAAAATAAAAATATTTTAGGAAGAAATCCATTTATTTTACAACCTTTCCCTTCCTCATACATATGCATTTTCAAACACTGATAAGCACAATACATTCTGGAAGCAGAAGAACAGGTTATCTTTTCTTGCAGCTGCTGAAGCAGGATACGACCCAAACAGGTAAAACCTAATTAGAATGGAGCCCAGAGTTTTGCACAGTTCGCATTAGTGCAGTTTGTCTTGCGCCGAGTATTTTCCTAAGAAATGCCATTCTGTCTACAAACAGTTGAAACTTAAAAGGCTGCAAAAGGAAAGGGGACATAATCCTGGGTGGATAGTTTTCCAACTTGAAGCATGAAAAATTTCAGACATACAGAATCCCTGAAAAAATAGTACACAGAACAGCCATATCCCCACCACTGAAATTCAACAGTGATGACACTAACTTTCTCTATACTTTTTGCTTTTTTAAAATCTTTGCTAAGCTGCAGTCATTGGGGTACCTCACCCCTAAGTATTTGAGCCTGCCTCTCAGGAGGACAAGCATATCTGTTGTAACCATGTATCATCATCACACCTAAGAAAATTATTACCAATTCCCTAATGTGATTGAATATGCTAGTCCAAGGCCAGATAACACATAATGATTTATTATATAATAAATAATTAATTATATTATATAAAAATTGGAGCTTCCCAGGCCATGTGGTCTCTGCCACAACTTCTCAACACTGTTGTGGAAGCCACAGGTACTACCTAAGGGAGTGGGCATGTCTGAGTGCCAGTCACCTGGATGGAAATAGGAAGCAGGCTGCTTCTAGCCCACGGCTCCTGTGTTGCCGACACCCTCCACTCCAGTCAGTGTTCCTTAATTGTTCTCAAAAGTCCTTTTATAATTGTTTTAATTTTTTCAGAAGGAGAATTTTTGACATTGTTCTCACCTTAATTTCAAGCTTTTTGATCTTTCTCTGTGTTTTCTTTTGCCTGGAGCAATTTATGAAGAATCCCTTACAACTGTCAGTTCAAAAGAGTTAAGAACAACATAGTAATATTGCTACGTGGCTCTTTTGCTCTAAAGAGCTCTCCTGCGGTGGGATGTAGTTTAGATGCTCCTTTGTGGTCCCAAGCAGCTGGGTTGTATTTCCTGTCAAAAAATATTTGCTGCCACTTGCAGGTGCAAAGGCACCTTCTGCAACCCGTTCACACTGCAGGGCAGCCTGCTGGCCGACCGCAGTACCACGTAGGTCATCCACGTGCACACGGGGTAAGGGAAATCAGTTGTACCCATAGGCTTTTTGAAGATAGAAATACTGCTTTTGTTGTTAATGGTGTAGCATTTTTTAATATTTTGCAATCAAAGGAGTCTTCCCACTTCCTCCCATCCTGATGTCAGATCTGAGTGAACCCCTCAGGGGACTCTGAGACCCCTGTCCACCGGCACTGAGTCACAGAGGCCACCTGTCCAGTTGCAGATTTTACCTCCCAAGTCGCTACTCCACTGGGCGATGTAGATAAGACTGCACTCGGTCATAAGCCCTTTATTAATCACATCGCTGGACTATATGTAACTCTTGACATTTTTTTCTAAGGGAAAGGAGAGTAAACGCTAGATGTTTATGTACTGATATTAAGTGGGTCTTTTTGTTTCTAATTCCTGGTAACCTAATTTGTAAAGATGGTCCGTGTAAGTGTACAATTAAGATTGCTAAAAGTAATGAATAAAACTTTTTAGCGTTGTGATTTGTCTGAATACAGGGATACCTTTTCATCTTAGTTTATAATTTCTTTTTTAAGTCAGCACGCAATTTGGAAATTTAACTGGCATAAAATTATACTTGTGTTGGGGAGCATGGGAGGGCTGTGCAACACAGACAAGACCAGTAGTGACTCTACAGCATCTTACTACACTGATGGACAGTGACTGTAATGGGGTATGTGGGGGGGACTTGGTGGAGGGTGGAGCCTAGTAAACATAATGTTCCTCATGTAATTGTATATTAATGATACCAAAAAAAAATTATACTGTTGAAACCACTGTTTATAGATAGCTTTCTTTTGGGGACAAACTAAACGTATCTGGTGATCTTACTCTTAACACTTCTTTCGGTTTTGTGTAAGTAATCAGTCAGTTCTGAACTTCCTCTTTAATGTCATTACGTTATTTTGTTTTAAAATCAACAACTTAAATCCCTAGAGTATAGCGTTTGAAAGGAACGCCCCAGGTCTGTGTGCATTCGCGTGGAAAGATCACCTTAGCTTAGTGCTGAGAAAAGCAAGTCACTGCTCAAGACGGGGAATAGATGAGTCTACTTGTATTCCGAAAAGTAACCTATTTACATAAACATAGAGAGGCAAGTATATAAATGCATAGAAAAATAGCTGGCACCGTACACATCTGTTAATAAGTTACTTAGGTGTTAACCTAGGTAAAAATAAGTAAAACGGGACAGATTTGTCCTGGTAGAAAGTTGATGTCCCAGATCACAACTAAAATGCTTGCGCTGACCTAACAGGCCTAGAAATTGAACTGACGTGTATGAGGTAAGGGTGGTATTATTATTCTTGCCCTGTTAGCCTCCTGATTACTTAATGGCTCATGACTGTAATGTTTTCCTTTTGGAATGTAGAAAATTACCAAAGAAATGGATGGCTTTCTACAAAAACTGAGGCGGAAGATCAAAATCGGAGTAGTAGGCGGGTCGGACTTTGAGAAAGTACAGGAGCAACTGGGACATGATGGTAAACTCTGCATTGCTGGTTACATTGTGGTAAAAGATTAACCTTTTATGAGGATATTGAGACCTGTTGCCTTTAGGAATCATAGGCAGCCCCGAGCCCTCATCCCCATGTGGCAGGCTTCCAGCTTCCTTGTTAGAGGAAATGTTTTCTCTGTATGTTCCCTGTTTTTATTCTTACAAATAAATTTCTGGAGTTGCTGTTGGAGGCCTTGGTACTCAGCTGCATGGGTAGATTCACCTAGCAGGTGAGTGTCAGTGTCTGCATGGAATACCTCCTGTTGTCTCCGTCCACTACCCCTGGGGGCTCAGCTCGGCCCCATCTCCTGACTATCCTCACCCCGGTGCTGAGGTGCCCTCTGGGTCTGGGGCCCGAACACGGAGTTTCACCCAGGCTTCCTCCCCCACCTCCTGAACCAGAATCTCCAGCGCAGTTCCCCAGAAAGCTGGAGGTGCTTGCTGACCCCTTCCCTGGAGGTTCTGACTCAGTAGGTCAGCTGGGCCTGGGAATCAAGAGGTTTTAGTGCACAGCCCTGCTGGTGTAGCACTTTCTACAGAGTACTGGAAACCATGTAGTTATATGTCTCCACGACTAGGACCGTTCATTATTATACCCGTACCCACTTGATGGCATGGCGCCCCCACCCCCAGAGCGGCATTACCCCCTGTCCTCTAGGGGGCAGAATCATCCCATTGGAGAACCACTGCTCTAGGTGCACTTCCACCCTGGCCCTGGGGACGCAGATTCAGAAAGCCTGAGCACGGGGCCTGGAGGTCTGCGCCTTCTCACCTATGCCCTGGTGGCGATGTGGATTCACAGTGTGTCTCCCTTCACAGAGAGAGAGGCTGAAGGCAGAGGTGTGAAATGACCCATTACCCAGTCTCCAGCCTAGTCGTTACCTTCTAAATCTGTAATTGAGAGCCTTTTTAAAAAAACTTTTCAGGAGCTTTTCCCCACACTCCCAGTCTACTAAGACAAGATGTTTTTTATGGTCTGTACTGGAGTTCAGCAGTTTTATCAATGATAAGCATTAAGAAATAAAACACGGGTTTCAATTCATTGCATCCTAAATTTTCTTTTGTTTTGGTTGTAGTGGTTGAAAAGTACGATTATGTGTTTCCAGAAAATGGCTTGGTAGCATACAAAGATGGGAAATTCTTGTGTAAGCAGGTAGGTCCTTGACTGTGCCAACTACTGTATATACTAATAAAATATTTTCTACAAAGGTAGTCGACATTGAATGCTGCTGGGGTGGCATATGTGGGAGCTGAGGGACAGGGGTGCGAATGAATCTTCAGCCTGTTTTCGTTTTTGCATTTTGAATGCTGAGTCATGTGACTCCAATTTGTTCACTTAATTTTTGTAATTGTTTTTTAAAGATAGTTAACCTAATATTTCTATGATGATCGCAGAGACCAGGGCAGGCTGTCTCGCGACAAGTACATTTAAGAGGTACTGTGTAGCTCTTACTAGTGCTAAGGTCATCCTATTCAGACACGAGAAAGCCCAAGTGGGACAAATGCATTTCCTATCAGTGGAATAAAAGCAGTAGCGGTAAACGACTTCTTTGGGCCTTCCTTGAAGCATCTGAAAGATAATAAACACAAAAGTCCTGAGTAATGAGGCAGGAAATGCTTTGAGTAAAGGCCCTTTCTGGTTTGCCTAATGTTTCAACCAGAGTAAAAAGGGAAAAACGGGAAAAGGCAGTGGGGCGTGTACCCTCCCTGCCACTTCAGCCTAGTGACCCCGGGCCAGGAGTGGCTGAAGTGGCTGAGTTTGCTATAAAGCCATTCAAAAATGCCTTCTGCTGAACCAAGTAACTCCAGGGTTTTCTTCATCTAGAATATTCAGGGTTACCTGGGCGAGGCCCTAATCCAAGACTTAATCAACTACTGTCTGAGCTACATTGCGAAAATTAAACTCCCGAAGAAGAGGTAAGTTTGCTTTTAGCTAAGAGACTCCCCTGGAACGTGGGGCTGCGTCAGCTGGTGGGTGGTGCTGATTGACATCCAAAGCCCAGTGCTCGAGGAGGAATCTCCGCAGACGTCCCGCAAGCCCACAGTGGGGGACTGATTCCGGGCGTGGTGGCGCGTCCCTGTGATGGAGGTGGGGACCTGGATGCCTTCAGAGGCTGCAGGTCAGGGGAAAGGCCTGTGAAATGCAATGCAGAAAAAGCCATGTAAACCCCAAACCCGGGAGTCTCCACTGGAGGCCCCAGGCCACACCGCCACAGCCATGTTTGGCCGGCCCAGGGTTCAGAAGTCTAATTTCACATTTCTAAGTATCTGAGGATGCCGCAACAGGATGCCCAGTCCCGCATGGCGGCAGTCGGCCGGCTGAGGAGCGCCGTCCCACCCCGGCTCCCCAGGCTGCACAAGCCACTGCTCATTTTTCTGACCTCTTTTGGCATTTGATGTGGGCACTTGCTTCTTACTCTGGATGCTATCATCTCAGTTCCCATTTTTAGGTAATAAAAAGTTACATACATGCCAAACTAAACAGAATTGAGCCCCCAGGCTGGCAGTATAACCACTGGCAAAATGAATTTCCAATAGCCACAGCAATATTTAACTATAACGAGTCAACAAACTGAATAAAGTTTTCTAAGAAACAAAAAATGTTACATGACCACAGTTCAAAGATGGGTGGGAAATGGACCCATATGCTAACAGTGGCTCTTTGTTGGTGGGGTTACAGGTGGTCTCTTTGAAATACTTTTCATTTTCTTCTCAGTTTTCTGTACTTAATGTGTGGCACCTTAATGATCAGGGGGAGAGAGATTTTTTAAATGGCGGTTGAATTTCAGGACATGCTACACTTCCCAGGCTGCCCAGATTATCTGAATTCATGAAACAAGTGCCCCTTCTCAGCACCTCCGCTCATGCAAGGGGCTTCCCTTCTCAGGTCTGCCCGGGGAAGGGGGTGATGGCACAGGCCAGGCCGAGAATCGATCTTTGTTGCAGCCGGGTGATGGCCCAGAGGGCTCTGTTATTCTGTTCTGCTTTCTTCTGTGTATGTTAGAGATGCTCCATAGGCAAACGTGACAGTGACCCCAGGTCAGTCAGTCTACTGCGGGCAGTGCATCGAGGGAGGAGTGGAAAAGGAGAAGACATAGTCCTGTCCTCAAAGAGGTTATCAGCCAGTGAGGGGCTCCGCCAGGCAGAGCTGCAGTTCACGTTAGCATGAGATATGGGCATATTCCGGAGCAGACCTGAGACCCACTGTGGGCAGTGTTTGCCCGCGTTTCCCGTCAGTACTGACTATGCCCCACATGGGTCAGGCAGGTGCAGTAAGACTTCAGATAGTCCATGTTGATAAACCACCTTGATTCACCTTAATTCTGATGTTTGTGAACAGAAGGGGTTCTGAAATCCATCTGCCTCCCTCCCTTGGGACTAAAGTGATCATGTGACCTTGAATTGAGGAAAAGGAATTGAGCTCTTTCTGACCATGGAGGACCCAATGCCCTGGGTCGCCCTGGGAATGACCAGCAGTTCCCCTCACCCCAGTGTACACACAGAAGGTGCAGGGCCAGCCCTGCGTCAACTCCAGGACATCCCAGACAGGGTTTCGGAGGGAGCATCTCAGGTGCGCATGTGTTGTGTCACTGAGATTTTGCTGTTTTTGCGAACTAGGGAGTATGCACTGCTCCCTAGTTTACAAAGTACTTTTACACAAACTGCTACATTCATTGTTGGCAAGACCCTGCAGAGGTAACCAGAGGAGGCGCCGTGAGCCCCTTTCCAAGACTCAGAGAGGCGTCCAGAGGCACACAGTGTCCTCTTGAGTGTTTACAAATGGCTGGTGTCTGGAGATGGGTGGGGGCCATGTGATTAAAATAACCTAAAGGGTCCAGGGAAAATGTTCCAGAGGTTCACAGGCATCAGTGTTTGGAACTGGAAGACACTGCAGAGCACAGGGTCTGTCACAAAACACTTAAATTGCACTTGTCAGAATAAAGAGCTTACAAGTAAATTTGAGTTTTTAAGAAATTCTTTTGAGACTCAAACTGGAACTGTGGTGGGGAAATAATGTTTTCTTCAGGAACAGAAATTTATAAGAACTGAACGAGTGTCCGGCTGTTCTCATTTTCTGTGACCAACTCAGCTGTGGTAGCAGTCGACCTCTGCAGGACTTGTGTTTCCTCAGATATTCCTGGGGCTCACCAGGTGATTCTCAGACCCTTTTCCTGTGGAGCTTTGCAATCTGTGTTCAAGAGGTCTGGGGCATATATTTTTTAACTCCCTGGGGAACTTGAAGAGCTGATAACCATTTTCATCATTCTTTATTACCTACACAATTCTCTGCCCAAGAGAGTCACTGTCCAACAGAAATAGTGTGAGCCTCATGTGCAATTTTAAGTTTTCTGTAGCCATGTGGGAAAAAGAAGAAAGGAATGGGTGAAATTAATTGTAATATTGTATTTAACCCAGTATATCCAGAATATAATCAGCCTAACATATAGTTGATATAAAATATTATTAATCATGATTACATTTCTTCCTCCTACTAAATCTTTGGAATCTAATCTCAATTCACATTAGCCACATGTGGCTCTCGGCTGCCGTATGGCCCAGCCCAGCGCTGGGGAATGTTGGTCATGCTAGCCTCTGCCGTTTGAAATTGCCTGACTTTTTAGCCTGTTTATCCATCCATAATGTTGCCCAAATAAATAATGCGTCCCCGTGACATCTGTCCCCCCTTTTCCTCTCCAGGGGTACCTTTATTGAATTCCGGAATGGGATGTTAAACGTGTCCCCTGTCGGAAGAAGCTGCAGCCAGGAAGAACGCATGGAGTTCTATGAACTTGATAAAGTAAGTCTTCCAAAATATCCTGGGTTACAAAGATAAAACACACAATTTTGTGGCCAGTAGTTAAGGTGTGCTCTGTCAACTGCGGTGCAGTAGACAATTGGTATCTTTCTGTTTTTCCCAGAAAGAAAATATAAGAAAGAAATTTGTGGCGGATCTGCAGAAAGAGTTTGCAGGAAAAGGCCTCACATTTTCCATAGGTATCGTATATTCAGCTGGGTTTCAAGCTTTGATAACTGTTTGCCATGAGTTTGTTATGGACCGTTGAGCTCTTGAAATTGGACGGTGCTCAGTTTCAAGGTAGGTGAGAGGACCTCGGGAGCAGCCCACCCGTCCACAGAGAGGTCTCAGGAGCAGACCCCCCTGTGTGGTCAGTCCTGGCAGAGACTTGCCCAGCCAGGAAATGACTTCCAGGGCTTGGGCCTAAATTCTCACCCAGGGGGATCCTTCTCCCTGTACTTCTCCTTGTCAAAAGTAAGAGCTTCTTCCCTAATAAAGAGTAAGACCCCATCCTGACACCTCCGGACAGAAGACAAGCCCGTTAGCGAACTCGGTGGGAGAAATGGGATGGGCACCTCTAGGTAAATCAGACTGGGTATGTTCTGGAATCATACAGTGTTTGAACAGCAAGGACCTTAGAAGGAAGTTGGGTTGGTTTTACAAATCAAGAAACCAAGGCCCTGGAAAGGAAAGGGACTTGTCTGAGTTGACAAAGCTTTTATTTACTGTGCAGACGCTTCGGTGGCTGAGGCAGGTCTCTTCCTGCAGCTCTGAAGTCTCAGAGTCTTGCTTTGGTAGTTAGAATATGCCCATTGGATGCTTTAAGCACACTTCTCCCGTCAGCACTGCGAACCGTTCCCAAAAGGCCTCTCGTTTTACTGGTGCTGATAAGTGTATGGTCAGAGGAAACAGGAAGGCAGAGGGGTTCTGCACACTGGGGGAAAGGGCAGTTTTTCTAGTGCTCGCGGACTGAGAGGAACGTCATTCTGACAAAGCTCTGAAGGGTGTTTGCAAATCACCTCCACGCCGTCTTCATTTTTCCTGCAAGATGAGCGGCGTGCAGCCCACTTCCGGGCATTCCCCACTGGGAGCACATCCAACTCCCATGCGCACACTGCATGAAGCTGTTAGCAGCACTGCGTTTAAACCCACTCGCTTGGCGGAGCACTGAAATGCAAACGCATTTCTCATTCTGAGGTGGCGCTGCATGTCTCATCTTCAGATTTTAGGTGCAGTAATGCTGGAAAAAAACCAGTGGGATTAATTTCTAGAACCCCTCCCTAAGTAGTGTAACAAACAAGGGCGCCACAATTCCACCTTGGCGGTCCAGCTGCGGACGAGAGTAAATCACACCTATTTTCGGTGACCTGTCGTTAGCCTCCTTGTGTCCTTCAGCTTCTGCGTTTCCCCTTCCTGCTTGGCAGGAGGCCAGATCAGCTTTGATGTCTTTCCTGATGGATGGGACAAGCGGTATTGCCTGGGACATGTGGAAAATGACGGCTTTAAGACCATTTATTTCTTTGGAGACAAGACCATGCCAGTAAGTGTGCAAGTGCTTTCGCATTTCATTGTTCGGTCTGGACCGGAGCAGGGCTGGACAAGCGGGCATCCCCCGCTCTCACTCTCCCCACCGGCCCAGCTCGAAGTGAGTGGTGGCCTCTGGCCCAGCAGAGGCCTGCGGTGAGCTTCCCGCCACCCCAAGCTGGGTGCCAGATGCTCTGATGGAGGCAAGAACCAAACCTTTCAGTTGCCTCCTGAGTTAAATATTGCCCACGTCGGGTACCATCCGGAACTCCTACCCCAGTGCAGCTGCCCAATCCTTTCTGCATTTCAAAGCCCATGCCACTTTTATATTATTTTTTTGCTGTATTTTTTCCCAGGGGCATTCATTGTAAGTTGGACGCTAGGATCCTAAATGGTAGGAGGACAGGGAACCTCACAGGTCTGAAATTCAGGAGAGGGATATGGGGAGGGAGGGGGGTCAGTCCCGGGCATCACACACACAGGGTCCGGGGAGCTGTCCCAAGGGGCTGTGGGAAATCCCAAGTCCAGGACTGACTAAACTGGAACCGAATGTGGAGGCAGCGCCAGCAGGAGACATGCATGGGAGGTCTTCCCCAGAGCCGCCAGCATGGCAGAACAGGGCTGTGCTCGGGACAGGGGGCGTCCCCAAGGAGGCCATCTCCCTCTAAATTCCTCTCACCCTCTGCCCCTCTCACTCCCTCTCGGTGCTGCGCTAGGGTAGCTGTTAGCTTGCCGCCAGAGGTCCCGCTGCGGGCTCTGTGGCCATCCTGCACCCTGTGGGTACATCATAAATGCCGCATCTGTGGGCTGTCCATCCCTCCAATCTCTGGTCCACTCCAGAAAACTTGCTACTCTGCTAAGGTCTGTCCAGGGTGGACCCATCTTCCAGCATGAAAGGGACTTCTGGATAGTATAGTCTCATGAGTTCCTTTCAAAACGGTAAAACTGGGACTCAGAAAGGTTAAGTGGCTTGCCCACAGTCTCACAGCAAAGGACAGAGCTGGTGGCACCAGAATAAACTGATAAGCTGCCTGCTCTTAAGTGAGTATGCTTTCCAGTCGGCCATTGGAAGACTGGAAAAAAGATGATGGACTGCGCTGACTCCATCGGGGAGGGGAAGAGAGTGTCCTAGTTCCCAAACGAACATGCGTCTTCAGGAAGTGTATCCTGCAGCCCTGTTCTTAATGAAGGAGAGAGATGGCTTAAAACCACATCCTTTTTGGTGAAGCGCTTCGGATGCAGGCTTTGAAAACAGTCACGTGCTGCTGTCTTTAGGAAAAGCAAGCTAATGAAATCACACCCGGGGGGCCTCAGGAACAGCCGGAAGCTCAGTCCTTCCAGCCTGCTGCCCTTCCTAACAGGCTGGGGAGAGAGCTGCTCCGGCAGGCCGACGCACACGTTTCCTGACGGTGCCATCTTGCTGTAGGTGAACAGCCATCCGAGGCCTCGGTCAGGGCTCTGCGGAGAGGAGCGTGGCTCTGGGGAGCATCACGAATGACTGCTTTGGGGGATTCTTCACTTGGGGGTCAGGGTTTTCGGTTCTGTTTGACCACTTCATTGCCACATCAGTGCTTTTTAATTTTTAATCTTCACTGCTTTTTTAAAAGCGGACACTATTTAATGGAGGTTTTCCTCCCCGGGTTTTTAACTGATACACAGTCATTGTAGGAAACCAGACAAGTACGACAAGGGAGGTGCAGTCGTCTGTGATCACGGCCTTTTCCCTCTGCCCGCAGATGGTCCCGAAGGGGACCCCTGCGTGGTCACTGTTCTCTTCTGGTTTTTTTCCCTTAATGTATTTTATCCCCCCCATACTGGCGAATATTCTTTGGAGACAGGATCTCTCATGACTGTACCGCCCTGCCCCGTGGGCACTGTCTATTCACCCGCTTGCCAGTAGAGGCCTGGGGCTGTGGGCCGCCGGTGTAAGGAGCCCCGGGTCGCTCTCTGCCCTCCTCTCTCTGATCCTTCTTGTCCATGGTTTCCTGGAAACGGGAATCAGCAGTCCAGCCACATAAACATTTACACAGCCTATCGGTTCTTGAAACCTCAGGCACAAAGCAATCTAAATACTAGCTTTAAACTTGTTTTCTGTGTCAGTGATTGATATCTTGAAAGCTGTTTTCTTTCTTTCTATGAAGACAAATGCTTTTGCTGGCTTCCAGGGAGGCAGCCCCTGAGCTAAGAGCTGTGGGTACACAGCTATGTCCTTGCCAAGCACCCCAGGCTAGGCGCCTGCCTGCAGCCACTCCCCTCCAGCAGCAGGGCCTCTGATGGGGTCCCAGAGGGTGTGCCAGAGCCTTGTCTCAGGGCCTTTGTCCTGGAAACCCCATCCTTCCCATTAGCCACAACGCCCGTGGTCTGTGGAAACCCACCTCTGAGTTGAGCTCAGAGGCCCTGGGCCTGGAGTGCCTTGGTGCGCTGTGTGGAAAGGGATGGCCCAGGGCCCTGCTGTGTGTGGCTTTCCGGGCTGTACTGGCCCCGTCACCCGAGGCTTTCTGCATTTCCAGGTAAGACAGCTTTTGCTTGTTCAGGGCTTTTTGTAAAAAACATACTGTGTCTTAAGCAGTTACACTATGAAAACATTCTGACACTTCATGAACGTCAACAACCACGGCTGGTTTCTGACCCGGCAACCCATTGGGGTAGTTGAGCTCTCAGTGTTCTCTCGGTGTGAGGAAGGCTGTGGGGAACAGGACTGGACACAACCTGCCCTCCTACAGGAGGAGACTGCGTAAATAAGCCGTGCCCGTCTGCACAGCAGAATGCCAGGCCGTTGCAGCAGCAGAGCCCGAGCGGGCCGAGCTCTGGACTTTTTGTTGTGAGAGGTAAAGCGCAGAACAGTGTAAGTGACAGGCTACATTTTTGCCTGAAGAGGGAGAAACTGTCTCTGGTAAACATGTAAAGGGAATTTGAAAGGACACCCAGAAAACGATTCCAGAGTTGCTGTCGGGATGGGGACCAGGCAGGGAGTGAGACTTAGCACCAGGATAGTGATAGTATCCTGTTTTTAAATTTTGAACTGTGAGAATATGCTCTTTATTGAAAAACACATCGTAAAAAATATCAGCCTGTGAAAAGGCAGGAGGCAAATTTTGGAGCACTCCCCTAGTGTCAGACCCTGGGCCGGATGCTGGCCATCTCCGTGGGAGGCGGGCTCCGGAAGGGCAGCTGCTGGCTGCGTGAGAGCCTGCCCCCCAGGCACCTTCCAGGCACTGAGAAGCCCTCTCACGGTAAAGCATTTAACCTTTAATTCCCCACAAATGTTAAAAAGGAAGGTCTGCCTTTAAAATAAACTTCAAAGGGGGCCTGTCAACATGGTGGGAAGAGGCTGTGGGCTTTGAAGCCAAGACCCCAGTCTGTGTGTCCCACCGCCCAGCTCTGACTGCACGTGTCTGTCCTGCAGTCTGGGCCTGGCTCACGGAGGCAGGGGGGGCACCAGAGGCTGCTGCTTCGGGGGAAGGTGTGCAGAGGCGCGCCTGGCACTGAGATCCTCTTAGAGACAGGCCTGCAGCGGGGATGAGCTGTGCGGGTCAGGCGGGCGGGAGCCCGCCTTGGGCGGTGAGCTGGACGCGGTCCCCGCGCCTGGTGCCTCCAGCCCTCAGGACTCCTGAGGACGCCGACGGGGCCCTGTCGGCAGCCCTCTTGCTGCTCACCTGTTTCTGTGGCAGGATCTGAGACCCAGGCCTTGTGCGGCTAGCCGCAGGCTTAGGTACTGTGGTGAGGGTGGTCCCTTGCCCCCAGAGGGGCTGACTGACTGGAGGAGGCTGGACTAGGTTAGGTTCTCAGCCTGGCTGCTGAGCAGGGGAGCCACGGGCTACAGGTGTTCGCTGGGGTCCTGGCTGGCCCGCCTTCCTTCTGAACACCAGAATCCGTGGCCTCACTGGTCCTGAGGCCAGGACAGTGGCTGGAGGAGCCCCAGGGAGGGAGCATTTTCTGCCTCCTTCTCTCCATTCAGGGAGGCGGGCTGCAGGCCCCTGGGGTGGGGCCACCTTCTGGGAGTCCCCTGGCCCGGCTGCTGATGCCCACCCCAGGGCATCTCCTGGATGCACTTTGGTGCCGGGCCCCTCACTTTACACCACACCCCTAGATTCTCGGTACTGGATCACAGCCAGGGGGGTGTCGAAGAATCACCTGATTGTTTTTAAAACTCCATGACTTGGGCTGGCCTTTTTGTCTTTTAAGAACTCTACTACTTTCTAGGAAAAAATCAGCACGGTCATCTAAGGGCATACATTTCCAAATATCCTGAAGTTGTTTGTGATTATTTTTAAAACCCCAGCAAATTGCTACATATTGAGAAGCAACCACGTGCACAGTCAGGGACTGCAGTGCACTTGAGTCCTGGGCCGGGTCCTGTGGCCTGGTGGCCCGAGGACACTCATGGCCCAGCACTTGCCGGTTGCTCAGGTGCCCATGGTGTGCCCTGGGCCTTAGGCCCCACTGTGTGTTATTCCTTCCCGGCTTTACTGCGGTATTTCTAACACTCCTGCAGCCAGAGGAGAACCATGGCTCCACACCCCTTGAGGGCAGAGCCTTGGCCTCACCGGCCTTCGTACCATAGAACCGTGAAATCTGATGAGTGCCTGTTAAATTGACCCCAGCAAATGTCCCAGACAAGCGGCAACAGTCTGGACTCCATGCTGGAGGGCGTCCGGGCCATGAGTGGGTGGGTGTTCACACAGCAGAGACCCCTGAAGTCCGAGGGCCCGCCCTGCTTCCCGGCGCGCTCAGCGTGTGCTCTCCTCTCTGGCTCCAAGGCCGGAATCGTCAGCCGCCACTGGACCCTCCAGCCAGGTAGCAGCCAGTGCAGAAATAGGGTGGCGTGCTGAGGACCTCACACCCCGCCCCAGGGTTCAGTGTGGCCAACACTGCCTCTGTTCTCCCATCTCACCCTCAGACCCTGGCCTCGTAGGGATCTGAATGTTAACGGACAGTTTGCGCTGGGCCGTGCCCTCTCCTTCAGCCCGTCGGGTGCACAGTACCCAGGATGTGCCCCTTCATGGGTCCCTCTCCCCTTCCCTCCGTCGTCTTCTCCCAGGAAACAGGCTTTGTTTTGGAGTGGGCAGGGCAGAGGTCCTAAGCTTCCCCAGCCAGGATCCAGTAACCTCTGGTGCATGTGCAAATCCAGCATTTGAAATTTCCGGTTCTCTGAAGCTTTACTGTTCCAGAGGAGGGCACCTCACTAGTGCGGTGTTCCCGTTCAGCCTGACCCCACGACTGTGGGTCACAAGCTCTGTGCAACCCCAGGAAGGAGCCCTCCCCCACTTCGCCAGCCCCGAGTCCCAGGCCAGGCCCCCTGAGGGAGAGAAGCCGTTCCTGCCAGCCCTGCTCCCTCTGAAAGCAGCGCTGAGAGGGGACCCCGAGAGCCAGCCCAGGCGCGGGCATCCCCCCTCCCTGGCTTCTTGTGACTTCTGAGTTAACAGCACAGCTCTGACAGCGCACCGCCCTCTTCCCCGCAGCAGACTCATGGGAGTCGCGCCTCACTTGAGGTCCCTGTGTGTGACATCCTCTCTCTCCAGAGGGGCGCAGGCATGGCCGCTGTAAACCTTTTTGCCTCAAAGGTCACTCTCCCCGCTCCCTGGGAACCGGCTTCTGTCCTTGAGGCAGCGTCCTGGCTGCCAAAGGAGCCTCCTAACTGCTTCCACGGCTGCTTCCTCGTCCCCCATCCATTTGCAGAAAGATCCTGTTTTAAGGTGGATCTGAGTGCGTCCCAGGGTTGAGCTTCACATAAACCCCAAGTCCCGGCTTCTGGAGCTTGGCCCTCCCTCCCCAGCCCACTTCTTTCAGCTCTGCAAAGGCCCCTCCTCTCACCCTTGCTCTGCACTGCTTCCCGTTCTGCAGGGGAAAGGAAGCCCCAGCTTGGGTTTGTTTTGCTGCTCTATCTCCCGCACCCAAAGCACGCTGGCAGGTGCTAGGTGCTGTGAGGGTGTCCAGCTAACCCGGGAGCACTCACTTCCCTCCTGGGTCAGTAAGTGATGAGGGAGCAAAGGGGTCCCAGATGTTTGGTTTTGCTGGACGGTGCAAATTTCTTGTTAGGGTCTTTATGGTTATTTTCACCTACCACAGCATTCCTAAGAGAAATTGGATTTATTTTTAATCATAAGAATTTTAAGAAACCTGAAGTGGTTTCACTTTTGCTTGTGTAGGTCGCGTGCTGGCCATGGGCCTCAGGGCCCCTTACAGTGCCATGCACGTGTGAGGCCCACTCTAGGCCCAGCAGGCTCCTGAGTCAGCGCTGGAAACATACGTTCCCAAAGGGGCTCCAAGTTCCTGGCCTCCCAGCATGACTGCCCAGCACACCCTGGGCCGGGCATAGCCCTCCTCAAGTCCTGAACTTCACCTCCCGGGGTGGGTTATTCTCAGAAAAATGACAGCAGGAATTTCAGTGTCAATCAGTCCTTTAATAAGATGTCAGATTTTCCTACAAAATCTCTATGAGAAAACTACATTTTCTCTGCAGTTATTTTCATCCGATTATAAACTAATTGATTTGCTCAGGGTTTTGCTAACTCTACTTATCCAGAGTTATGAGGAAAGAAAAATAGAGAGGCCGTGAGAAGAAAGCAGAAGCACTCCTGCAGGCTCAGGGTCGGGGGAGCAGCATTCACCTGAGACCCGCATGGCTAGAGGACCCCCCAGCATGCCAGGTCCCCTGGACATGTGCCCCTGTGGGGACAGTCTCACCCTCCACCCCAGGACGCACACCAAAAGTTCAGTGTGAAGACACCTGGAAGGCCATGGTGGCTGATGGGCCGCAGCACTGTCCCCATTCTACAGACACAGGTTCCCACATGCACCGTCAGTGGTCAGACTGGGGTCTAAACCTGGGCCACCAGGGCTGCTCAAACGAACCCAGTTCCTCTGTCACACCCACCACAGGTCAGGTGCTCGGTAGTCACGGCCGGCTGCTATCAGCCTAGAGGTGGACATGTCTCCTGGCTGCCCTCCCACGCTCCCTTGTGACTTGCTAGAAGAGTTGGCGTGGTTAAATCAATGGCAGTGAGCTTTCTGTCACCTGCTCTGCTGGCATTAGAGAAAAGTGAGCCACAGGTATATCCTCACAAGAACACCGTGGTTTCCTTCCTGGGTGTAATTACATGTGCTAAGCTGAATTGCAGTCGAGGTGATAAGACCTTTCTCAGCAGTGACTGTGCTCAAGGTCCTCTTCGGGAAACTGAGAACGGAGGCAGCAGGTTCCTTGTGGCTGCAGCCCCGGGTAACGGCCCAGCGTAAACAGGCTGTGCGCACACTCGCTTCATATCTTTGCAGGGCGGCAACGACCACGAGATCTTCACGGACCCGAGGACCGTGGGCTACACCGTGGCAGCGCCCGAGGACACACGCAGGATCTGTGAAGAGCTCTTCTCGTGACGCCCCTTCCCTGCTGCCAGGCCTGGAGGGGTCCCCGCTGGCCAGACCCGAGCTCCCTCCCTCCACGTCAGTGCCTCCCTCCGGCTCCCAGTGCGAGGTGGCCCCCACTCCAGCGCCAGAAGCAGCCAAGGGAGGCTCAGGGGTGCCTCCAGCAGGAGTCTCCGACGCCCCTGGTGTGGGGTCCCAGCAACGTATTTTCGGAAATTTCCCCGCCATGCTAGGATGGCACAGAAAGAACAGATGTGCCCGGACCTTCCCTCTTCATGAAAAACATAACATGTGGGCCTGTGTCAAAACTGAACGTGGGGTTTGGTGACTGGGACAGGACATGTACACCAATCCAACGCAGGACAGAGGTTTTCAAAACATGTCCTGAAATAAGGCTCCTGCCCGAGCGTCGGCTGGTGGGGGCCCGGGAACCGTGCGCACTGTGGCCAGGCCGTGTTAAGCTCGGACCACATGCACGCTGTTCTAACCTGTATTCCAGCCTCATTTCCTGTCCGTGAGACGCAGACCTCACTATGGTCCGTGGACAGATGGCTGGCCGGTGACACCTGACCCCCAGGAGTCTGCACCTCAGCCGGCCTGTGCGGTTGGCTCTGCGCTCACTACAGCCCAGCTGCTTCTCTAACCATCGAGATGGGAGCAAAGAGGAACCACCGTCCCTGCGGAGAATCGGCAGACAGCCCTTACCTGGCTGCTGGGTCACCGCCCAGGCTCAGAGAGACAGGGTGTCACTGTGCCGGAGGAACCTTCTCACCGGGCCTGGCCAGGCTTCCCCAGGCCGCCCCCGGGACTGTCAGGGATCAGGACGGAGCCCGGATGACTGACGGGCCAGGAGCTGCAGCGTCTCTGCAGACCTTGTAATGAATAAAGGTGTCCGTGCAGGCCCTCGCCCCAGCTGGCCTGAGGGGTAGGGGCAGCCGGGATTGGGACCGTGACCCTCCTTCCCGACCTCGTTCCGCCGGTTCCTTGTAACCGGACGGCATCTCCAGGCCTCGCCTGAACACGGCAGAGCAGCTCTCCAAGCAGACGGCTCACAGGTCCCTTCTCAGGACCTGTACGTGGTGGGCATCTGGGGCTCTGCTCTGCGGCGCACCACCAGGTGCCTCAGCAGAGGGAGCCGGCCCCTTCCGAACCTGGCCTCCCACGGGCCTCCCAGGCTCGTCCCAGCTCTGCTCAGGCTGGGGAGGCCGCCCCTCTCCCGCCCCCACCACACAGGCCGGACCTTCCTCAGCGGTTCCCAGGACACAGCCATCCAGCGTATCTTTCCATCTTGAATCAGAATGGAAAATAGCAAATAAAGTGATTTTACTGTTCACTAGTTCTCTGATAACTTTTTCCTTTGATTATTATGAATGAAGCAGAAGATGAGCCCAGCTCCGATTCTAGAACGAAACCCAACCTCTTGGCCCCTACAGGTAAGGTGGGGGCGCATTTCTCGACTGCGCGGCCCGACCTCCAGGCTTTGCTGCCCACTAGGCAGGGCTGCCGATTCCCTGGAAGCTTCCTTATCCATCCTATCTAAGCAACTGTTCCTCAAACTTGCCCCAACCTCCTCTGTAACCAGGAAGGGTCTCTCTGCCCTTTCCCCAGCACTGCACGGGGGCCATCAGGCTGGGTGGGCCTCCAGAAGCCCCCAGGCCCTCGCATCCTCCCCACCCCTCTCTGGGCACTGGCACAATTTCCTCAGCCTGCCTCCCACCTCCCCGACAGCGTGGGCTTCCCCGACCCTCCGCCTGCTTGTCCCCCATTCGTCCCACCCCTCCCATGACCCCCAGGGGCCCCCAGCCCGGCCCTGTGGTGGGGTCGCAAAGGGAGGTAAAGTGACAGGTGTGCGTGCATGGTGTCCGTGGTGCCTCACGTGCCTGCAGCGCAGGCTCTGTGGTCGGCGGACAGCAGCAGGGCGGCCAGATCCGTCCTAGCCCAGCTGCAGACCCTTGTGTGACTCAGGACGCGCGGCCTTGGCCCGTTGCCTCATCTGTCAGCCGGGCTGCGGCCCCTACAGCCTGTGTAACTTCAGTGAAGACCCCAAACAGTGAGCTCTTCCTAAGCTCACCCCGGGAGCCCTTCAGGGCAGGTGCTCCCCTCAGCTCTGAGGGGTTTGCTGGACACCCTGACAGGAAATTCAAACACAGCATAGTGTAGCGTAATGTTGCATAACAGGGTGGCACAGAGGTTACCCCAAGCCAGCCTGGGCCATTGAGCAAGCAAGCCCTGCCCCCCAGCAGTACCCAGGACCAGATGTTGGGCCCTGGGCTCAAGGCTACTCGGGCGGTTGGGAGGGAAGACCACAGGACAGGCCGGCGGGGGGCACACAGGGTGGCCACCCGAGGGAGAGGCCACTGGGTAGGCCCCCGTGAAGGCTCTGCGTGTGCTCGGCTCTGGGAGGTCTTTCCAGCCTCTGGATGGGGTGCAGAGGGCAGCAGAGCAGTTGGGCCTATGTGTGAGGTGGCCTTGAACCGCTGCCTCCCTGGGCACTGGGCACTGTGTCTCCTGCTCTCCCCCACCCCCACCCCAGAGCTCCTGGCCCTTGGCCCCATCAGGCCGGAGGCCACCTCGCCGGGCCACCAGCCTCACCACTCCCTTCCCCCCTCCTCCACCTCCACAGCACCCGGACTGCGGTTTCTGGCTCCTGGCACTACCCGGTTTTGCCAAGCCCACCCTCCTACCACCTGTATGACATGCACTTAGAGAAGCACAGGGACAAATCTCATCGAGCTAAATGCCTGTGGCCTCTTCCTAAACAGGTTCAATGGGCTGGGCTGCTTATTACTTTTTCCCTAATACACTTTGCAAATTAACATATTACAATAAAAACGTTCATCTCTTCACCAAAAATCATTAGCTACCTCCCTTGGCGAACACTGGCCAGGCAAGCCCTGCGCAGCCGGACACGAAGTCCCTCCCACAGTAGCCCTGCCGCCCTCCCCTCCCCCGCCACCAGCCCAGCCCACTGGGCTCCCACACAGCCCACGCTGCTCCTCCTTGGCCGCCTGCCCCACTCCCACTCACTGCCCAAGCTCACAGAGGCTTCCCCCGACTGACAGGGCATCCTCCACAACTGACCGGCATCACCTGTCATCAGGAAGCCACATTCTACTGCTAAGCTTTCCTCCGCTTGGGAATGAGGATTAAGGAAAAAGGGATGGTCCCGTTTTCTTATTCCTCCCCCCAAAAAACCTGACTCACAGCAGAATGACTGTGTCAGCCTCTTCTAGGGGAGACGCCTTACCTGCTGGCCTGAAGGAATAGCTCCTCAGCAGGCAGCCTCCACGTTAGCACACAACACACAGCCTTGCACAAAACGAACTTTATTGAGAGAAAGAAGATTCCCGGATGCTACTCCCAGCTCTGTCACCGACACCAGCCGTCCTCCCAGAGCCTGGAGGAGTTTCTGTAAATTCTAACTCTGTTGGAGTGGAGAGGGCGTCCCCTTCCAGCTCTAACATCCTAGAATATACGAGGAGACCGAAAAAGATGGGGGTACACAGGGAGCTCAGAGCAAGAGTCGTTTATAAAGGACTGCACAGAGCAAGAGACTCCAGGGCACCTCCCAATCCACTGTCTGGCTCGGACCACGTACAAGGTCCGGACAAGGCCATGGGGCACCCGGGGCAGTAGGGAGAAGGCACAGCCTCCAGGCCTGCATGTGTCTTGGCAGAAGAGGCTCTGGGAAGAGTGGTCTGTACCCAACAGAGGCCTCTAGGGGCTCCCGGGGATCACCCAGGGCTGGGGTGGAAAAGGCCACCACAGACCCAGCAGAAGGCTTCAGAAGCAAGAGCTACCCTTCAAGAAGCACAACAGGCCGGGGAAAAAGCGCAGATAAGCTTACTTCACTGCAAGGTTTCACGCTAACGTAATCAAAGCACTAATCTGCCTATTATAAAACCACGCCACTAGACCAGCACAAGGTTCTAGCCTTCTGTCTGATGAAGCAGTTGCTGGGCTGAAAGACAAACACATCCACGGAATGAAGTCACTTGGTGAGGCCCTTACTGCCTCCTGCGTCGAGTCCTCCCTCCTCCGGTCATCGTCGTCTGCCTAAAAGTCAGCTGTAAGGGGTCACTTCCCTGCACTGACGATCAGGGTCTTGACCACCTGTAGGCCACGAATTCCAAAAATATATTACCCAGCTATTTCTATTTTTAAATCACGACGAAAGCCAGGCTAAACCACAGCAAAGAAAATCCTCAGGATCTGTTTACTGGGAATATCTACAACAGTTCACAAGGTCGGCAGCCAAGTGCCGACAGAGGGGCTCTGGGGTGAGAGCTTTAGTTACTAAAAAAAAATTTTTTTTTAATCTTAAGCATTTTCTAACACTCGTTTCCAAGAAAAATCCCTCAAGTAAAGGTGTGTTTCTCCTTCAACTTTTGGCTATGGAGAAGCGAGCTACCTAACTTTTCTGGGTAGATCCAGAGAAGGGTCTGTTTTTCTACAAAGGCTGTCCCTTCTCCCACCTCGCCCACCGCCTAAATGACCAGGGACGGGAAATGGCCGCTGGGCCGTGATTACTCAACTTGCAGGCAATGGAAAAGACCAGGCTTCCCGGAGCCAGAACTCAGCTCTGAGCTGTGCCTGCCTGGGCAGGGGGCCCAGCGCCCCAGGGAGACCGCTCCTCCCGAGACACCCACTGTGACACCTCCCACTTCAAAGGCCCCAGAGGACCCCACTCTCCCCAGGCCCCAGGCCCCTGACCACCCAGGCCAAGAATCAGAAGAGCCTGCTGCTCTGCCCAGGGGCAAGGCGACACAAGAAGCGGGGACACCGGGCGGGAGTTCCTCCCAGGGAACCGCAGGCTCCGCATCGCCCCACAGCGGGCCCCATGTGGGGATTTCCAGCCCCCACCCAGGGGTCAGGGAACTCTGGGCCGAGCCCCCTCTGGGTAGCTGGGGAAACCCCAATGACCTACCACCCCATGGGCTGGGGTTGGCCCCTCCACTCAGCCACTAGGGGGCACCTCTCCTTTTTCAATGCTTTTTAATGCTTTTCAGATGGTGAGAGGTGGCTGAGGTCAGAGGCTGTGCTGGTGGCCGAGGGCACCCCGGCACCTGCTCCCCACACCCCTCCCACCCGGAGACACTTGGAAGGCCCCGTGCTGCCCACTGTGAAGCAGCTGCATGTCGTGTCCAGGTCAGTCCTGCCCCCCTCTCCCCCAGAGTCTCCCACAAGCCCGGGAGAAGGGGTGCTTCTGGCCTCTCCTACAAGCTGACGACGTGGCCGGACCAGGTTTCGTGTTTGGTGCCTGGTGCCAAATGGGTGATGACAACCTCGACGGCCTGCAGCTTCTCGTTCTTGGGTGGGATGGAGCACATCTTATAGGTGACCTGGTCGCCTTCCACCGGGACGTACTCCCCTTCCACGCTGCGGAGGTGGGGGGAGAGCGCGCTCAGTCCCCAGCACTCAGAAATGCCCCAAGAGGCCCACCTGGGACACTCGCAGCTGGTCAGGGCGCCCCCTCAAAGGAACTGTCCCTCCTGTCCCGCCACAGACAGAGCCACCACACTGCAGTGGCTCCATGCCACCCCCAGCCTCCCGTGTGGCCGAGGAGACCCTGACCCAGTCAGCTCCTTCCCTGGGGCCTCGCCGGCTGAGAGACGGAGCTCAGCCTTCTGAGGGCGCTGACATTACACGTTAAATGTGGCCACCTTGGGCCTCGTCGCCAGAACCGGGAGAGCCGGTCTGAGCCAGAGAGAGAAAAACAGGCAGTCGCAGAAGCGGGGCTGGGATGGCCTGGCCAGAGGTCCCACGTCCCCCAGGCACACCCACCTGGCCCCAGGAGTTGCAGCAGCCAACCCCCATCTCTATTCTTCCATTCCCCAGATTCCCAAAGAGCTTCCAAGAAGGTCCCTTTTTGTGCTTAAACCTAGTTCCAGAAGGATCCTCTCTCCTGTGAGCACCTCAGGTTTGTCTGGATTGAAGAATCACATAGCAAATGGTGCTTCCCTCTTTGATTTGGCCACCAGGAAACTCAGGAATTCATCTGCAGCCTACTTCTACCCAGTGGGACCGAACATCTCAGGACCTCCATCTCCTTAACTGGCCCCTCACGCCCGTGTTTTCCTTACCGACTTATTTTTCACGGTGCATTACATGCACCCTTGTAAACCCCTCAAAATCCTGTCTGGAAAGAGGCAACATGGAAATACATTTGTACGTCCACGTATATGTTCGTACATACATAAAACGTAGCACCTAGGCATCTTTCTCGTGTCCATGCTGTCTAGGGCACCTACTTAAGACCTGATGTGTAAGAATCTTGCATCGCAGAGGGGAAAGAAGGGACAACTCTCCATCACAACAGACGTTTGCAACAGAACCCTATTTTCAAAAACATTTCAGTCCTGCCATGGACTGAAATGACAGACTGGGGTGCCGAGGCCAAAGAATGGGGTGCAGGTGCCAGATTAGGTCTCCTCCTATTATGAAAGCTGCCTGTAAGTTTGGAAGCAAGGTGCAAGCTGCTGGACGCCCCCCAACCTCAGGGCTGAGGATGTGTGGGCCCCGCCCTTGGCCCCCAAGGGCTTCCAGACACTCAGGAAGGAAGGAAGGACGTCTGTGAGCAAGTGGCAGGAGAAAGAGTCCAGCTCCAAACTTCCTTCCTGAGCATCCTCAGCAGAGGGCCGGGGAGCCCCCAGCCTCACCAGGCGGCTTCCGCCAAGGGAGGGCAGGACACCGGCCCATAGGTCAAACAGCTGCCCAACGCACAGGAATGTCCCCTCCCCAGCCACCAGATACACTGGGGCACTCAGACCCACCCAGTGGTTAGTTCCCAACTGTCTCACACACGCACACAGTCTCCTGCAGCCTCTACACATGCCATCGTCAGATTCAGCCTTGCCACCCCACCCCTGAACAGTCACACACAGGTCACACGCGCCTGGCCTCACCCACACCCTCCTCCTGCCTGCCGCAGCCCCAGACCGCCCAGACCAGAGGCTGACTCACTCGGAGATGTGCAGGAAGATGTCGGGGCCGCCGTCGGCCGGGGTAATGAAGCCGTGGCCCTTGGAGCGACAGAAGCATTTGCAGACTCCTCTGCAGACGGGGCCCTGCGAGGCCCGCACGGTCCTGGCAGAGGGGCAAGAGTGAGGTGCGCCAGTGGCCCTCCAGCCCCCTGGGGCCCTCCCAGCTCACCCCCATCCCGCCCACGGCCAGGGCCGCCGGGTACAGGGGTGCATTACACAAATCCGGGAGCCATTCTCACACTTCAGGAAGAACGACTCTCTGGATGACCTTGGCAAGTTTTCTTAGGCCTCAGTTTCCCCATCAGGAAGGAACGGGGTAGATAAAAGGTCTCTGAGCAGCCCTCTGAACGCTACTTATTAGTAACAGCAGCAGCCACTGCTCAGCACTCTGCTAGGCACCGTGTGGGTCCTCTGCAGCCCTGTGGCCACCCCGCCACTATCCCCACTGTGCACCTTGGAAGTAGAGGTCTAAGGGCAAGAGGCTTGTGGGTCGTTAAAGCCCAAGGACTGAAGACCCCAGCCATTTCCCACGGCAACCCCATCCCTGGCCCCCAGCTCAAGGCAGGCTCAGGTGGGCAGGCCCTGCACTGCTGGGAAGGCCCCTTCCTGGTTTCTCACCAGCAGCCCCTCCCCAAGCCTGTGTCTCCCATGTGACAGGTAGGGACACTGAGGCAGAGATGGCCGGAGACATAGTAACTCTCTGGTCTCGGGCAGGAGACCTGTCAGGAAGCCTCTGCTGGCCAGTCCAAGACTCACGCTGAGAAGGTCCTCGTCCGGCGGGTGGGCAGCGGGCTGGGGACCACGTTGCCCCGAAGGGGGGACGGTGAGCGCTCTCGGGCCCGCTGGGTGTCCAGCAGCCCAGCGGAGGCCTGGTGGGTGGGGGGCTGTGGTGGCGGAGGAGGCTCAGATGACATGGCTGACCTAGAGAGAGACGGGCTCTCAGGGGCGCACACCGTGCACGGAGGGGCTCCCAGCTGCGCCCCAAGCCCGGGTCTGCCAGTCTGCCATCTGAGATGCAGTCCTCCGGCTGTGCAACGGCAGACCCGACACTCACTCAGCATGGAGGCCACCTTCAGAAATATGCCCCGCTTGCCCCTGCTGGGCCAGGCGCCCCACCGCCCCAGGGACACATCAGTCCCCTGCAGGTGCCCCGCGCCCAGCACTGGCCCACTCTGGGCACCGGGGAGACACTTGGGTGGGGAAAGGGGAGGCAGGGGAGGATGCTTTAACGCCAGCTACCATATCAGGACTCCAACCCCTCAGCAAACATGCCCATTTCCCCTGCTGAGTGCCGGTTGCCATGGTTAAGGGGGAGGCAACCCAGGGCTGATCTCGCAGTGTTCCTCCAGGAAACTCTGGGACAGAAACCAAAGAGAGGCCGGCCCCCAAGTCTGGATCCCCGGGGGCATCACAAGCATCCAGAGGAGGGAGGCCTGGCAGGT